AGAAGAAGAAGAAAGAGAGGAAACTGGACAAGTGGAAGACAAAAGAAGAAGTGGCACGCCTAAAAAAAAAAAAAAAAAAAATATATATATAATTATATATATATATATATATATATATATATATATATATATATATATATATATATTAGGGGTGCAACATACACAAAATTCACGGTTCGTTCGATACTTTGGTGTCACGGTTCGATATTTTTTCGATACAAAAAAAATGTTCATGCCTTTTTAATTTGTCATTAAGTACAGTTTTTAAATTTAATGTTGCTGAAACAAAAGTAATTAAAAAAATAAATATATCTCAGGGCTCTCAAAATTTCAAAATCCCTGGTAGCCCTTCGGGCAGGGACTCTTCAGTTTTTGGTAGCCCAAAATAAATTTAAGTAGCCCGAATAAAAAAGAGAGCAATTTTTTGATTGATGTTTTGTTTCCTGTTTTGTTTCCTTTACAATATTATACATTAAAGTATAATATTGTAAAGGAAACAAAACATTAATCAAAAAATTGTTGAAAAACAAATTACAACATTGTATAAAAATTACAATCATCAACTCAAATACTTGGTTCTAATTGAACAGAAATTTCTATGAACTTGTAAGAACTGTGTAGGACATGAATCAGTCTGTGTCAGATCCTGAATTTGAAATTTCCACTGAAGTCACGGGTAAGAGACAAGTGGAACCAAGATCTAGGCCATTTGCTTTTTGAAGTTTGCAAAGACTGCTAAATTTTGCCAGTGGTAGTTCACTCTTTGCAACATAGTACGCTGTTCTAAACAGATTTTTCAGGTTTATTTTTAGTATGTTATTTGCAATTGGTGTTTGTTCTGGGAAAGATATTGCAGACTGAGCAATAATGCATTTCTTGCATTTCTCATGGGTTCTAATGGGGGCCTTTCTTAAAATGACTGGTCCCAGTAACAAAGGCGCTTGTCGACTCAGAAATCGAGAGAAAACCAACAACACACCCGGCAGAACATTATGTTATTTACACGGGTGCACATAAGTGGTCCGCATGTGCGCATTCGCTGTCAAAATAAAAGACGCGCACCAGATAAGAAGTTGCAACGCGCGTTTGCGTCCATATAAAAAGCACTGTTTTTGTCCGCTAGAGTGGGATTTTCACGGCACATTCCGCACCACATCTCTGTGCGTTCATCATTTGTTTGAAGCCAGCTCACCTCCTGCAACCACTTTTCCGAGAATACGTGCTTCTTTTGTGGTTCGGACTCCTTCTGACATTTCTTTGGAGGTGAGGAACACCAAAGTAATTGCTTTGTAACAGCGAATGCGCACCTGCGGACCACTTATGTGCAGCCCTGGTTATTTAGCTCGTCATATTGCAGCCACAGAAATTCTTTTGTCCATGAAACCATAAAGCTGCACTTTCTTTTTGCCTTATAGTCTGATTTGTCATAACTTTTCCGTTTTGTGGTAAGCTTTTCTTTGGCTGTCACTTCTTCACCCTGACCTGTCTTATTTGGCTCAGCAGAACTAAAATATATATCCTGCTGCTTTTACACACACACACACACACACACACACACACACACACACACACACACACACACACACACACACACACACACACACACACACACAGACTCAGCGATTCTCTGCGCGATCAACCTCTCATATGTTTAAGCTTGCTGCGGGAGATTTCACTTGTCATGTTTGCATAGTAAGCTAACGATTGATAAGACGATGTCAGAGGAATTGGTGCGCAAATTATCATCACTCACAGATCAGTGCTGTCGCTCTCTATACACAGTTCGCGCGATTGCAAAGTGAAAGCAAAAAACAAGCGCAAATTCAAACGCGATTTCAATATGTCACATATTGACAGTGGCTCACCGATGCCAATGACATAATTACCCAGCTACATTTCCGAAAGAATGCAAAAGCATTGACATATATTCGCAAAATCGCTAGCCCCGACGTCCCGGGCTAGCGATTTTGCAAGCCCTGTATCTGATTGAGGAATCACTCATCTTTGGAAAAGAGAGTTTATTACAGAGAAATGGCTCTTTCCAAAATAAAAGCTATACTATACGCTTCTTCTGGGCTATATTCTCAGCAGCATATTGTAGCGGGTCAGGGCTGTTCGGGGTTCTGTTTGTACAGTTATGTTTTGTTTATGTTGCCATAGTGACGGGTGACGCCCTCTCGCTGCGACGGTGTGTCCTTCCGGGGTCAGAGGGCGCCCTGTGTGTTGTTGTTGTTGTTGCTGTGCGGTTGCCGCGCTGAGCAGTTAGCTAGCGGCAGTGTTCTTCTGCAGATGTCAATAAACGGCTGTGCTCCCTGGCTAGCTCACGGGAAGCAAGACCAAACGACACCTCCGTCTCCTCGTTGTCTGAGCTCGCCACATTGGTGTCAGAAGTGGGATGATGGTGGCACCCCATGTTCTGACCCGAGTGACTTTTCCCCCGCCGGTCGTGACCGGCCGGTGCGCCAAAAGAAGGCACCTGGACATTTGCAGGACTTTGTGTGGGGTAATGGGGTCGTCGGGGACGACTGACCCCTTAGGTGGGGGCTATGTAGCGGGTCAGGGCTGTTCGGGGTTCTGTTTGTACAGTTATGTTTTGTTTATGTTGCCATAGTGACGGGTGACGCCTTCTCGCTGCGACGGTGTGTCCTTCCGGGGTCAGAGGGCGCCCTGTGTGTTGTTGTTGCTGTGCGGTTGCCGCGCTGAGCAGTTAGCTAGCGGCAGTGTTCTTCTGCAGATGTCAATAAACGGCTGTGCTCCCTGGCTAGCTCACGGGAAGCAAGACCAAACGACACCTCCGTCTCCTCTATATATATATATATATATATATATATTTTGATAGCAGATGAACACCATCTGAAAGTCATGCCATTAACAAATAGGAAAATCTGTTCAGCCGCAGGAAGTGGAAGGGTGGCTGTTAAGAAGCAATTTTTAAGGACAGGGAGGCAAAGCTGAGGTATGCCAAATTACACAAGAACTGCACTGAAGATCAGTGCAATGTGGAAACGACACTGTCAATGCAGTAAAATCACATTTGGATAGAAAAACAAACAGTGAAACACTATTAGTCATGGACTGGCCTCCCCAGAGGCTGGACTGCAACATTTTTGAAGCAGTGTGGGATCATCTGGACAGAAAACAGAACAAAAAGCAGCCATGATCCAAAAAAAAGAGCTTTGAAGCTAATTCAAGAAGTCTGGAAGACTTTTCCTGAAGACTACTTAAAGAAATGATGAGAAAGCTTCTCTAAGAGAGTTCAGGCTGTATTAAAGAATAAAGGTGGTCATATTAAATATTAACTTTAAAGCTTCTTAGAATTATACAGAATATGTTTTTGTCTTATATACTTTTATTTCCATGTATATGTTTGTAGCTGTTTCAATGAATCCCTCCACCCATTTCCCATTTTCTGAGCAAAATATAAACAAAGATGAATCGTGACTAGAAAATGTATCTAATCTGTTTGTGAGGGGTAGCCAATCAGAGGAAAGTTAGTTACAGTAGTAGGAGGCAGTTCCAAGAGCCATTATAACATAAACAAGGGTTATTTTAAACTGTGAATGATGCAAAGCTGGTAAAGCATAGAGCTGGAAATGACCCAAAGGGTTTCCCACAAAGGGAGTTTTTGTTTCTGGAACAGGAAATAAAGGTTGCTTATAGTGACTAACTTGATTTTAAAGTAATTGTGTTTCACCTGACCCATCACTCTATATATGCCATACATAAACATCCAGACTCACGAGACACGAAGAAAAGGGTTGTATTCGAATTCTTCCATCAGTGTAGATGGCACTGTGGGTTTGTCATCATCATCTCTTGCCTGCAGAGACAGTAAACGCTTTAAAAAACCTGGTATAAACATATTTAAATGTATTTAAAGATTAAGGCTTGGACTATTCTCTGTGCAGCAAAAGCCTGTAATAGATTACTTATCTGTGCAACAGACCACCATTGTTGTCTAAGATATTTAAAAAAAAACAACAACAATGATCTAACTGAAATGCCTTTAACACACTGGAAATAGTTGTGGACCACCTACTATGTAATCTGTATATATTTGCATATCAGGAGACAGGCTAACACCAGAGAAAACTGCAAGCCTTATTCTTGTAGCAGCTTCCTGTATCATGCTCACCCTGGCCCAGCTCAGCATCTCCTTAACCTTTTCATTTTCTGGCTCCACCAGCATGGCAAACTTCAAGTTCTTTATGGTGTACTCGTGCCCACAAAACACCTTCTAAAAGACGAACAAAGTCTCATTTAAAGTAGGGATTAGCTCACAGCACAGCTTCAGTGTCTTTACTCATTCTGGGCTTTGTGCCATTTTTAAGACAGTTTGTACTATGAAGGGTGAAAAGAGAGCCAGTCCTGCCCTCAATTCACTGATTGTTGTGGAGTGATGATTCACTATAGTGATTTAGACTTATCTGAGGTCATGCTAGCTGTTGTTAACCCTGTAGAGGTCGTACACACACGCATACGCAAACAGTTAGCATTTCTTATTTCCACTAACCGTGTCTTGAGGTAGGGAACCAAGCACCTGGGTGAGGTTGTGGTACATCTGCTCTGCTGTACCCTCAAGGAACCGTCCACATCCACCAATAAACAACGTATCCCCTAGCAACCCAAAGAAAGGACAAGGGGATGTCACAGGAGGCAGTGGTCAGTTTTTGTCATCGCACACAACATGGACAACTTATAGTATTCATATCTCTAGCCACTCAGAAATCAGTTATTAAGATTATTTGCCTGAAGACACAACAGTTGCAACATGAACTGAGTCATTTTTTTGCCTTTACTGTACAGTCAGAAGCGGTATGGCGAAATCTACTAGTGTCTTGGATTTCAACCGGTGCACTGATTCTTTATGTGTACAGAAAAAGACCTGTGAACACAGCAGGGGCGTCAGTGCACTCATCCTCCCAAACAAAGTAGCACATGTGACCAGAGGTATGGCAGGGAGTAAACAGGCACCTCACATTGATGGAGCTAAACTGCAGATGAAGAAAAGGACAACGAGGCAAAAAAAAAATCAGAACTCAAAAAGACAACAGGTTTGTAAAATTTCAAAACGCAGCTAAACAGCATCTTCATCGAGCTCCTGTAAGCGCTTTGTGGACACCTTCAGTTCCTGCGCATTTGTCACTTTATCCGTCAGACCCCCGATTCGATCGTCTCCCCCGTACACCCTCAGGCCAGGGACCTCCTTCACCAGAGCCTCATTCCCACGAGCGTGGTCCCTAGTAAGCAGAGGCACCAAATTACTCCATTAGCCTCAATTTGACTGAGATGCTTTGCAGTGTTGTTACCTGACACGAAATGCTCCTCTTACCAGTGATGGTGTGTGGTGAGAACAGCTATCAAGGAGACGCCTTCTCGTTTCACTATTTCTAGCAGCTGTGGGGGGGAAAAAAAAAACATCCAGTCACTTTTAAAGCAAAACAGCCAAACAGTCCTCAGGTGCAGCTTCTTTGTCCTATGATTGTTTTAGCTTCAGAAAAGTGTAATAGTAGGAGAATGTAAAAAGTGCATTAAATGTTGAGGAAAGCAAACATTTATTGCAGCCCTAAAATTCTTCTTCTTTTGTTGGCTCATATTTAAACTGATCCACCTTCCCTTCTTTTGCCCCTTGCAGATTCACACCTGTCGCCCTCTCATTCACACACACATGTATTCTGTTTTGCTTCACTCTCACTACAAATCACAGTGTCTGCTGCAAACATGATAGTCCCCACAGAGACTCCTGCCTGACCGTCATCATAGCAAACACACCTCACCACCATCTCGCTGTCCTCATACAGGTCCTGCATCACCCTACTTCTCTGTCACTCCTCACTTCCTCATACTGACTTCCAGAGTGCGTCTCTTTGCACCCTATCATGCTTTCTCTGGAGACAGTGCAATTCCTTTTGACCTCTGTATACCTCGACCTCTCCATAAACACTCTCAAAGCAAGTATGGTATCTGTAGTGCACTTTCTCTACAGTATCTATGAATATTGCTTATTGCTTTTTAAAATTTCCTTATTTTTAACAAACCAGTCTTCGATTTTTCACTGAATCGTTTTTTAAACTGTTTCCTTGTTTTGTTAGATACATAGATGATCAACAAAATAAGTTTAAGTCTTTTCTGAAGTATGACGCCATTTTTAAATCACAGGCACAACAATGTCTCTCACCCGGTGTGGCACAGCCGGGTCCACAGCTATCGCCTGTTTGCTCTGCTCCTCTATCACCAGGTACATGTAGTTGTCTTCCAGGATGGAGATCACCTTTACCTTCATGGTACCCGCACACGCATGCGCACCACAGTGAGCGACGCTTCAAGAAGAGGTTTGATTAGTCAACGTATGAATCATTTACTTGAACGCACCTGTCTTCTGCATGAGATGTTAAATACTTCGTCAAGCATAAACAGATAGTCGATATAAGCATGCTGGCCGGTGTAAGCTGCGCCAGCCCGTAAACTACAGTGTCATGTAGCCGAGTACTTCCTGATGATGTCACATGACTCTAAAATCTAAAAATAGTTTTAAAGAAATCAGAGAAGAGCTACCTCTCTTTAAGTGTATCCGATCAGGTCGTTTATTGCAGCTGGACTGTGCCCATCCTCTTCAAATTATTAACTCACATTTCTGTCAGACGAAGAAGTTATCGCGACATCGTGTAATCAAAGGGTCAAAACTAAGACCTTTTAATCGAGCTGGAAACAGTCAAACGCCTTTAAATTTGTTACAAATATATACGTGTGTGTGCGTGTGTGTGTCGTAGGGGCTTATTTATCAATGTGTTTTTTCTTGATTCATGCTTCTCTGCCCCTGGAAATGTACAAGCCTTGGTTAAAAATAAAAACCAGTTAAATTATTAACATCTAAAATTTCAAATAAATATTCACATTTTTACATTGTTAAAGACTATAATTATTTTATAATAGTAATTAACTATTAGTAAAGCATGAATAGGCATTTTCAGACATTATCTGACACCTTTTAGGATGGCTAATCATTATTTTGCAAAGAGTTTTTATATAGAAGCAAACATGAATGTGGTGCATTTATATAGTTCAAATTACTAAACAATGGATAAAGTATGGCTTTTTAATAGTCAATCCAGCCTCTAGGGGCATAATATCAGCCTTGTACAATTCAATTTCCAATTTAAAATGTTCTTCAGTAGCTGCCATCAAATCTAAATGGGAACAGCACCTTAACTCTCATTTGACAAAAGAACTGTGGGACTCTATCCTTGGCCAAGTTCACAATATATCAATGTGTGCTCGACACACACTCATTCAATTTAAGATTGAATTTAAGGGCTAAGTTGGTGCCAGAGGCAGACCCAACCTGTAGAAGGTGTGGGGGTGCCCCTGGTAGATTACTTCATATGCACTGGTCCTGTCCTTCGTTGGCCAACTTTTGGACCTCTGCTTTCTATATAATGTCTGAAGTCATGCAGCATCAAATTAAACCAGAGTCACTCTGTGCTGTTTGGTGCGGGCCAGAACCTGAAGGTGCCCAACTCCAGACACAGAACATTAAACTTTTCATTACTGCTGGCCAGATGAGCTATTTTACTTAAGTGGAAAGACTCTTCTCCCCCCCTCGTATGTGCAATGGGTAAAAGATATGTCCTGTATGGATTTAGAAAAAAATAGATATACAGTTTGTGGGTGAAAAAACACATTTTATAAACTGTGGTTCCCTTTTCCGGACTTCTTTGAAAGGCCCACAACTATTGTTTCTGAGTAACCCACAGATTAAGTATGGCTACATATCCATAATGTGCTTACACATTTGTTTTTTTCCTCTCAATTGCATTATTAGGACTGTGTGCACACAGTCCTAATAATAATAATAATGTGTCCACATCAATCACCTACTAAATGAAACAAAATAATAATTATTTTTAAAAAATGCTACCGGACCTGCTTCTTAATACTTTCATCATATTAAGACATGAGAGAAGCTTAATTCCATGGTTTGCTAATAGACAAGATTTAGCAATTATAACCCAAAGCATCTCCCAAAATGTAACTGGAAAAGTTAGATAACACCGATGAAAGCGTTCGCCAAAGGAAAACTTCTACTACTGTAATAATCCAATAATATGAGATGTATATGAGAATATAACAGTTTTAATGGCCTTATTCTGCATCAGGAATATATTTTGCTTATGACACAATTTATTGACACAAACCTTTGTGTGAACCTACTGAAACAAATGTGCTTTATTGCTTTTTCCAAATTGTTTCATGCAATAGTCCTTGAAAGATTTTACTTTACGAGCAAAATATGATTTGGGGTTTCTAACAATGCTGACACAAGAGGTAGACAAGGCTGAGCTCACAGATCGCTTTGATTACTTATATGTAAAGGCAGCTATGCTGTATTTTGCACATAAACAACCAAACTAGCATCTTTTAAGCAAGCGTGAAAATAAATGACATGAAGAAACATTGATACAAATCTTTGTAGGCGAAGAAATGATTACCTATTATTAAACCAACTCACAGAAAGTGTCCACATACGCCAACATTTGTTACTCATGTGGTCCTCGTCTTGTTAAATGTTTAAACGCTGAGTGAAACAGTAGTTTGAACATCAATATATTAAAGCATAAGACTAAATAACTTTTCTGATACATTTACAGAATAACTACATTTTTCTCATTTTAAAACATTCAAATAATGGCCATTTATTCCTTAAAACTGCCAACCCAAAAAACTCAAATATATCTAAAAGAATGACTTATTTATAGATTTATAGTCTAATATGTTATGCTGAACACTGTGATAGAAAAAAAATGGACCTTGAGTTAAAGTCAATGCAATGGATGTGCTGTTTTTCCAGTCGGTTTACAGATTAGTTGCAGGTATTTCTTTGAGTATATAATTGACAGCTTGCAGTGTTGTAATCAGTTGAAATGCCAACTCTGGTGCACTTTCACTCCTTGGGCACTCGGAAATTATCTTTTTCCTTCCGAAGACTTCTCATGGTCTCGATAGGGTCTGTCTGCTTCACATGCTCTTGAACGGACGGCTCTCTAAATTACACATTGGGGGGGGGAAACAAATGTAGTCAGGCAGCACTCTCACTGTAGGTACCTCAAAACAAATTATAATCATCTGTAATTACTACTACAGTGATGTGAAAAAGAGAAATTTCACAGGGCCCTGTACTAAGTAAGTGCACCCCAGGTTCAGTAGCTTGTAGACCAGCTCTAGCAGCAATAAGTAATGACTTCCTGTATGACTCACAGTCTCTCACATCATTGCAGAGGAATTTCGACATACTCTCCTCTACATGACGTTGCTTCAGTTCATTGATAGTTGTGGGCATTTGTTTTTGCACAGCACTCTTAAGGTCCCACCACAGCATTTTAATCAGGATTAAGGTCTGGACTTTGTCTGCGCCACTGCAACACCTCCACTCTTTTTGGTTTCAGCAATGCTGGTATAGATTTGCTTCTGTGCGTCATCCTGTTGATGATCCAATTTGGGCCAAGGTTTAAGTTCCGGACAGATAACCTCACATTTGATTCTAAAATTCTTTTGGACAACATGTCCAAGGTCGTGTGGATCAAAACAAGCCCAAATCATCACCCCAATAACACCTCAAATATGCTGTGTTAGCGCTGTACATTATGGCCAAACATCTCCACTCCTGTGTCGTCTGTCCAAAGGCAATTGTGGTTTGATCCAACTTTACAAAGTTTAAGTCATGCTGCCATGTTCTTTGTAGAGAGAAGAGGCTTTCTCCTGTCAACCCTTCCAAACCAGCCCTACTTGTTCAGCATTTTTCTAATTGTAATGTCACAAACTTTTACATTTAACATACTAAATTATGCCTGTCAAGTTTAAGATGGAGCTCTCTTTTTTTCACTTTCTCTGAGCATTACAGTCTGACTGTTAGATGATTGTGCCGGGACATCTACTCCTGGGAAGACTTGTATTACCTTAGTTATATTAACAGACCCCTAAATGCACCAGACCAGCAAACTGCCCAAATGTCAGCTTTTCTACAAGTCCACACTCGCTGATCATCAGTTAATTAAGTCCAATTCATTAGCAGCATCTGGCTACTGCTTATTCTCTAAATTCCTATAGAAGTAGTATTGCTGTACTTAGTTTTTTACAAGACTACATTAAGTCCTGTGAAAACTCTTTTTCACAAGGCTGTTTTTAATGAAGTTATACATACTTTACTCTCATAAAGGGGTTAAATGTGAATTCATCTGCCAGAGTGGACGGAATAGTTGGTTCTCCGTTGCTGCACTTCTCCTACAGACAGATAAATACACAAAAATTGCAAAGTTGTTTTAATTAATTAAGGATAACTGATTTGAAGTGGTTACTGTATGAATCACGTACCTTTGCCCAGGCCAACTTCTTCTGAATTACTTCATTGTGCGGTTCCACATGACGTGCAAATTTCAGATTGTTGACGGTGTACTCATGACCACAATAGACACGCTTAAACACAAACACGCTAAAGTTAGTCACACACCTTAAACATACAGCAAAGTTAACTCATCAACTACTGAAGAATTTAAGTCTTTCCTTTTCCATCCTAAAAATCTGTAAAATTAACGCCTATGTTTGCAGTTACCGTTTCAGGAGGAAGGCGCCCCAGAATTTCTATCAAGGCTTTGTGCATCTGCTCTGCTGTACCCTCAAAAAATTTCCCACAGCCAGCCACAAACAGAGTATCCCCTACATGGGAAAAACAGGAGTTCTTAGGGCCTTTAAGTTCACACAAAACATGTCTTTATTTACACTCGCAGTTTATCTCATATAAATGTTTAACTTAAGTAACCACACCTGTAAAGACAGCTGGTGGTTCAGTGCTGTTTTCTTTGGTCACGTAGTAACAAATGTGACCAGTCGTGTGACAAGGAGTAGAAAGGCATTTAACATGGAGTGAGCCAACCTGAGGAGAGAAAAACATAAGTTCATTTGAAGCTTATAGTTGGACCACAGAGCAGAGAGTTTGCTCGTCTCACTTTGAAAGTGTTGGAATGAGAAACTTTCTTTGTAATGGCATCAACTCTGTCATCCCCTCCATAGACCTTCAGACCTGGCATTAGTTTCAACATCTTCTCATTTCCACCGGCATGATCCCTAAAACAGAAAATTAGTGTGTTGGTATTACTCTTTTGTCCAATACAGGTTTAGCAGGTTCTTAGCATAAGAAGCCAAAGCAAATGTTTATTTATAAAGCGTGCATTTAGTGGGCAGTAGCGTTTAATACCAGTAAATGGTATTCACAGCAAAACAATCAAGACAATTTGCCGATTTCTGGGAAACATAATGACAGGAAATGGGCAGGGTGATGACGTCTTAAGTAGTAGGAGCATCTTCTGACTTGATGTTTTGGGATCATGTTTGCACAGCAACACCTTTTAGGCCATCATTCCTTCTCTTGCAGGCTATTTGCACCATTACTATAGTAATGCTAGTATAATGATGCAGGTAGTTTGTGGTCTGTGTTGTCAGCCAGCATCAAGCTAAACACAATGTCTGCCACAAGCTTTTCCTAGAAGCACTTTGTTAGACTGGAGAATGCTGCTGCTAAATGCAGCATGTGACCAGGTAGTAAGATGTACATCAGCATGAGAAAATTAAAAGAAAGAAAATCAAAGCAAACAAAATCACTTGACTCCTACTGCAGCCCTGCGTGAGAAACTGGTGGAGAAATATTCAAGCATTCCTTGTCCTAAAAAAGACTTTACAAATTTTGAGTGAGTACCGTACAGTACAGTAGGTAGGTTACTTTGCAGTCACAGCCTTCCATGATCAGAGTGGACCTAATACTTTGTTCACACAGCACGCTGGATATGAACGTGGTTATATTAATGGTAATGGTGATGAATATAAAATGTATCTTTTGCCTTAACAGGTACAATAAGTATTTTTTTAGCTTACTTATTATGGACAAATAATCTTGGAAAAAAAAAAATTCATCAATGTTATAAAATAAGCAGCAGCTTACCAGTGGTGATGGGTGGTTAGAACTGTGGTGAGTTTTACACCATGCTTTCGGACAGCTTCAACAACCTGTTCAAAGCACACACACAAAAAAAAAAATGCTGAGTGGAGCCATGCCAATATAACTACTTAATTTATCAATAAGTATCCAACAACAATTAGTTATTAAAGGTCTTAATGAAGAATAGGAGAGAAAAAGGTGTTTGTTACAGCTTTTTCTATGGAGAATTCACAGATTTGGGCCCTACTACTAATTTATTAGGGCCAGTCAGGGTTCTTGGATTTTGGACTTGCTGAAAACTTGCTGAAAACATCAAATTGGTATTTCTTACTCACACGCTAGTTTTAAATGTAGCAATGACCAAATACTTGATATTTTCTAATATTATAAATACCTTTGACTTGATAGTAGACTTTCAAACTACGCAGATTCTGTATATAGTTGAAAGGAGATTGGTCTTCTTCCAAACTAAGGACTACTGCGTAGTTGGAAAGTCGTGTCTGTCCTTCACTACATATCATTATAATGCCCAAACAAAGGTCGGGCAGATAAAAATGCACATCATATCAAATTTCATTCTCAGTATTCTCTGAATAAAAAGATTGGATGCATTTTCCTGCAACAGTTACAGTATTCTATCCAGTACATACTTAACCTCACATACACACTAACCTCAAACTGATATAAGGTACTCTGCACCTTTCTGCAAACTGTCCTGAAAGTAGGCACCTCCCATACAAAAATAATGAAATAAAAATAGTAAAATAAATAAATACATAAATAAGAAGAAATCTATCACGCTTGGATAGAATTACGTAGTGTTTTCAGTAGTCTAGGGTTATGTTTTGACCTACACCCAACAACAACAACAACAATAATAATAATAATAATAATAATAATAATAATAATAATAATAACAACAACAATAATATATTTTTCTTAAGTCCACAATATCACCAGCAAAACGCAGAGTGGATTCTCTCAGAGTTATGATGCTGAACACTATATGTATTCTCATTGATGAATGACTATTTTAACCCTTATAAACTGTTCGCATTTCAAGCCTTCAGAATATGGTTGGGGTCAGTTTTGACCCATGCTAAGAATTGGTATAAATGTTTATACAACATTTTGAACTACAGATTACATAAATAGAATATGCATAAATAGCATATCTAAGAAAATTGGATGATTAATGCTTAATTAATGTTTCAGAGACCAGATAGTGTATTTTTGAGATTTACAAGATTCATTTTTAGTGAAAAAAAAAAAATCTAATACTTGAAAGCAGGAGAGAAATTATGATTTAATTATATTCTACTCAAAGTGAAAATGTTAATGACCTCAACTTTTGGGATTTATTATATAACAATGCAAAACTATTACAACTGTTAAACACTGCCCCTTGATATGTCACAAAAAAAACTGCTTGTAACTGCAGCCTATAACAAAATCTATAATAATTCAATAACTTGTTCATTGCAAACTAATGTGTTTATTCAGGGCAGTGGTAGGACACCTTGCATGTGTGGAACTTGCGCAAGTGTTTCCCACACTCACCTAAATGCCAGTTCAGGTATCTTTATAATCTTGCTGAAAGGCAACAATCCTAATACTTCTAACCATTGCACCATCATGCTGAGTCATTTCAAATCTCATGTCTGTGTCAAGGCACCATCCCTAAAGGCACTCACTGACATCTATGTAACCTCTCGTGCACTGTTTGGAGATCACTCCATCTCACAGACCAGCTGGTACCGGTCTCTGTGGGAACCTGGGCAAATATAGTGAGGACGCAGACAGTCTACGTGACAGTGTCAAGGTCCCCCTTGACGTCTGTCACGTCTGTCCAATAAAAAATAAAGAAGGAAAAAACCCACATAGGCATGACTTGCACACAAGATTCCCTAAAACCACTTTTTTTTTTAAATTTGACCCACACTGGTAGATCTAAAAATCACATTTCATCACAAACAGCCTCAGTTTACAAAAGATTGTAGCACCTGTACAACAGTATAAGATTTTGGATCATTTTAGGTATAGTCATAAAGTCAGCCAGAAACACAAAAACTAAACAAAAAAAGTGTCTAAACTATTTCACACACTTTCTCTCATTTAAATGAAGCAACTACTACAGTACTCTGTGTAGTAAATACTTAATTTAACTTGGTTATTCCTCACACACACACTAACCTCAGGTGAACTGGCAGCAGGTACAATTGCACCTTGAACAAACTGCAAACTGTCCTGTAACTAGACACTTCCTCAGATACCATATCATGTAATAATTATAATAATAATGATAATAGTAATAACAACAATAATAATAATAATAATAATACTTTCAGGCTCAAAATAAAAAAATAAATAAAAGACAAAACAAAAAGAAAACTATGTTGCTATCAAATATTTGTAAAAGGACACAATTTTGACTTGAATAGTGTGTAAAGGTTAACACAATCACTTGTAGGTAGACTTTCTGCATTGGTGTTAAAGTGTTGTCAACTGGTTTATATAACATTACTTGATATGATACAGTGACTGAACAGACCTTTATTGGCTCCACGGGGTCTACAACAGCTGCTTCTCTGGAGTCCACATCGATCAGTAGGTACATGTAGTTGTCAGACAGCGCAGGGAGCAGTTCAATCTTCATGTTTGCTTGCTCCACCAGATTAGATTTCCTGACCACACTGTGAAGGAGGGCGGCTGCCTGGGCCTTGACTTCCACCGGAGCTTCATGAGGGGATAAAAGTCAATATTTAACACCGAGCCACATCAGACAGAAATCGGGACAGTTTAACTTCTAGTCCCCTGTACCTCTGTAATATATTCACATACTCCTTGCCTTACATTCGTTTAATGCCACAAACGCGAGAAACTTAACACACCTCACCGCCCCGCTGGACAAGTGAACGCCACACGTTAACACGCTTCGGTGTTGGATTTTTTGTGGGCACGCTAATTAATTACACCGATATGACTGTCATAGAGGAGGTTATATAAGAGGAAACGGGTATGAGCTCAGACAGGCCGGCTGTGCTCATGTGACAGCTCCCCCCCCATCTTAAGACGACAAAACATAAACAAACGAACAAACGCCATCTACCCACCTAACGGCAGCGAAGCAAGCGAAAACTACGCTAAACCTTCGCGGGCTGAAAATGAGAGAAAACCGTGTGGACGTACCGAATTTTAAGGCTGTCGCAGCTCCTAATAGAGTGCAGGCACTCCCTACTAGTGACTTGAATAACATAACAACAGTAGCTAAAGTCTTATCACGTTTGTGCAAACCAGAAAAGTTGGGTTTTGGTTCAGTTCCGCCTACGCTCCCTTTGACCTTTGCCCTCCAAGGCTCCGCCAATCAAGTCTCGGGTAGATAGATCGGGAATGATCTATCTACGTATTTATTTACGTAAACAAGTTACACGTGACTGTCTAACTTGTTTACGTAATTCTGCACAAGAGTAGTTTAATAAAGTTAGTAAGTGGTGTTGTTTTACATTTTAGTCCCAGTAATTATCTCAAATAAGATAGCATTGATTCGACGTTTGTGCTCTGCGCATGTCCCTTCAGGCTTGCCGTAGGTTGATGTTCCGGAGCGGTCAAACGGTGTCGGTCAAAGTTTAGTTACACTCGTGCTGACTGCATCAAGGCAGCCGAAACCGCTCACGGTTCTCCACGATGACAGCACGGAATATTTCCCGGTTCTGGGAATGGGGGAGGAAGATCATTTGCGTTGGGAGAAACTATGCGGATCACGCCAAAGAGCTGAAAAACGCGATTCCTAAGGAGCCTGTCTTGTTCCTGAAGCCTCCTACTGCATATGTGAGAGAGGGCTCGCCTATCTTGGTGCCCCTTTACACCACTAATCTGCACCATGAAGTGGAGCTGGGGGTGGTGATCGGGAAAGGGGGCACGGCCATCCCGCAGTCCGCCGCTATGGAGCATGTTGCGGGTTATGCTCTGTGCTTGGACATGACAGCCCGAGACATCCAGGACGAGTGCAAGTCCAAAGGTCTGCCCTGGACCATGGCCAAGGCTTTCAACACCTCCTGTCCTGTCAGCGAGTTCATCCCCAAAGAGCGCATCCCTGACCCGGGGAAGGTCAGCCTGTGGCTGAAAGTAAATGATCAGCTTCGACAGAGCGGCTGCACCTCTCAGATGATCTTCTCCGTCCCATATCTCATCAGCTACATCAGCGACTTCATCACCTTGGAGGAAGGGGATCTCATCCTGACCGGGACCCCTAAAGGAGTCTCCGCCGTGCAGGAGCACGATGAGCTGCAGGCTGGGATCGAGGACATTGTTACGATGAGCTTTACAGTAGACAGACAAGACCATTAGCGGGAAAAGAGACTTAACTGAGGCAGATGAGATAAAGACTCGTGAAGAGAAGGTGCTTCAATCTTTTTTAAAATCTTTGCGCATCAGCAGATGGCAGTGCTGTGCCACCGAGACTGTATTTCTGATCAATTCTTGCTGCCTTGCCCAGCATTTTAGAACAGCCGAAGTACAACACAAAGTTTCGTGACACCGTTTGAGCAAAATCAGGACAACTATAATCTATTTTACTGTATTTTAGCCACAATATAAAAAACATATTCATCACACAGTGTCACTATGTCTTTCACCAGACTATGAAGTAATTTATAGTATTAAAATGAAAGGTGTAATGATGTAAAAAAAAAAAAAAACTAAACTAAAATGAGCATTAGATCATTATATTTTTGTAATTTATTATTATTTTTTATCATTTGCTGTAAAAAATAAAAGGATTGCAGAAACTTGAAAACAGCATCTTGTATTCTCCTTTTTGAGAAACTTCATATTTTTCAGAAAACAGTAAATAAGAAAACAGTAAATAACAGTAAATAAGAAATTTCATAATAAAAACAAGTCCTCCATTAAAAAAAATACTTGTCATTGGTAATGACAGTTCATATCAGTATTCATCTTTTTATAAATGCATTAAAGTTCAAATAGTATTATCAGCGCAGATGTGATCTATGTATAATCACATATATGTTTTTATGTTAATGTTGAAAAAGTGTCTCTTCGTAATCTTGTACACCAGATGTTTGAAACACACTCAAAATACTTAAAAACAATTACTTCAAAATGTTGATATAAAAGTTGATTTTTCCCCCCCACAATAATTAGTGGCATTGCTTTTGTTCCCAGTGGGTTATATAGTAAAATCTAAAATTACAATAATAACAGTAAGGTACAGGTAACGTTAAGAAAGCATTCCTTACATTATAGTGTAGATGTAAATTGTATGAAAGACCATGAGTTTTACAAAAAAACAAAAAACACGTATGGTTCATTTAAGTATTAAAGTTTTAATATATCTAAGGAATTATTACAATTTAGAGAAGCTTATGGGTTGAAAATGTTTGTTGTCCTCAGAAGAATTCAGTTTGAAAAAACCTGTTTGATTAGCACGGGATCAGTTCCATAGTGTAGCAGTTTACACATTTACCCAATGAGTGAAAAGTCCTTCTACAATCCCAGGAGAAGAGACAAATCCCTTTGGGGTTGCATCAGGAAAAGCATCCGGAGTTTAAAAAAAAAAAAAGTACATCTGCCAAATCAAACATGTGGAGCTACCCACTGTGGCGCCCCCTGTGAATAAGGGAGCAGCTGAAAGTAACATCAGATTTGTCACTGCGGGAGTTTGAAATACAGGTTTCACTACCCAGCTGTTCTTAATTTAGGAACATGGCTACACTTACCAGCCAGTTCAGTACATACTGTAGCTACCTGCTTTTGCCTTTAGAAGTGCTTTAATTCTTCACGGCACAGACTCAACAAGGTGCAGGAAACATCCTCAGAGATTTTGGCCCATATTGACATGTTAGCATCACACAGCTGCTGCAGATTTGTTGGCTGCACATCTATGATGAGGATCTCCTTTCTCACCACATCCTAAAGAGGCTCTATTGTACTGAGATCAGCTGACTGTGGAGGCCATTTGAGCATTTGAACTCACTGTCATGTCACACTGTTAGTACAAGACAGGATGAATCTGCTTTGGGTGTTCAGAGACGCTCTTTTGCATACCTTTATTGTAACAAGTGGTTATTTGATTTGCTGTTGCCTTCATTCTTCTCTGACCTCTGGCATTAACAAAGTAACAAGTTTTTACCCAGAGCACTGACGCTCACTGGATATTTTCTCTTTTTCGGGTCTTTCTCTGTAAACCGTAGAGATGGTTATGGGGGAAAATCCCAGTAGATCAGCAGTTTTTGAAATACTTTGGCAACCACGTCGCAGTCAAAGTCACTAAAAGTCACTTTTCTTCTCCATTTTCATGCTCAGTTTGAACTTCAGCAGCTTTCTTGTCCATGTCTACAACCCTAAACGCACCAAGGTGCTGTCACCATCAACTCAGAACAACATCTCTGGGCGGAAGCAACATCTCGGATCAGTTGGCTGCGGTTGTGAGGTCTCACAATCTGCTATGTGAGCAAAAAAGAGTGACAAGACCACAGAATCGACGGCTAATAACATCACGGAGAAACTCGCAGCTATTAACGGGAGATTGAGAGACCAGTGTCGGAGTGTTAAAAACAGCTTGAAATTCTCATGAGTTGTTTGCAAAAGAAAAATTACCATCATAATGCGGCTACCCCTTCGGCGCCAGCTGTGGGCTCAAGGCTGGAGCCGAACAACTGTTCCTTCCCATTCCCTACAAGGCCACCTGGGTTGGCTGGAAGATTGTTTACTTAGCCTGGCGGGGCGAAGGACACTGTCTCAGCTCAACTATGGACACGCACACACATACATATACTGATACTGATAAGCACTCACTGACGCATCACCCTCCCTATCCAACGCCACCTCCAACGCTTACCTCCCCCATGATGTGGACATCGGGTCAGCTGGAGGCGCAGTCGAAAGATTGCAGCGGTCCCAGATCAGATGTACACACTGGAACACTTTCCCATGTTGCTTGTCTGTGTTTATTGTGTTATGGTGTGTTGATACCTGTGCATTCCTGTATTATCCTTTTGTGTTACACATTTCAATGTTTTTTCCTCGCTACCTAGCCTGACCTGTCTCCCCAATGTGATGTTTGTATTGTATGTACGGTCGGCAAGGTCTGTCATCTCGGTTGTGGGCAAAAGACCTGCAACTGACAAATAAAGGCTATCTCATCTCATGTAATTGATTAGATATTTGCATTAACAAGCAGCCTAACAGGTATAACTAACAAAGCGTTTGTTAAACCGGGTGTATTTTGCTGCTTATTGAACCAGCCAAGATGTATTTCCTTCCGAATGTTTAATTGCGTCACACCTAAATACTGCATTTGATACTTTCTTTGATTTGCTTTAAACAATCTGAGACACATAAAAGAGGGCCTCCATTAACCCAAATTATCAGCTGTGGTGTTTCTGCACATCCAGTGTAATTTTGACTTCTAGGATGTCAACCTTCACCGTACCCTGATAGTTCTTAGACTTTTAAACTTCTCTTCCAGGTTCAGAGACAATTCTCCCACAGGCTTCTCTGTTTTCAGGATCAATCAGAGCCTCCATCAGCCTGTCCCAGGCCAATCTGCCGTAACCTGAGTCTACATACATCATCTTCCTACACCTGTAGGGCATGTTGTCTGCAACACTCTTAGTGCCAAGCCCTGGCCTGCAGGGAACTCTGGGGTTATGTATGTCTGTCATTAGAACAGTTATGACAGATTCAATTAGATTCAGGAGCTGGGAAATGTTTCCATGGCCCATTTTTTTCCTCATCACAGGGTTAGTATGCTATGTGCTCACAGGTGTCGTCTTTTATGAGGTATGAATCATACTATTCATTGTCCCCGTGTGACTGCAGGTATTAAAGCCTCACAGGTTTTTAACAACGGCTTCAAAGCTGGAGCTCAGCTCTGGTTTAACATTCAGCACATAAACCAGCACCATGTCAACGAGCCCGAGAAGGTATTTTTGACGCTTTGAGCAGGGATTACTTGAGGACCACAGTCTTTCGGTTCAGCAACAATAACGGTGACATCACTCATGATGTCAGCCCAGGTGGTAACTGAGTCTTATAAACAGAGTCGATCAGAGTACATTGTCAGAGAGCTGCTGGTGTGCATTTAGTATCTGAGAATTGTTATGTGGTCGTGTGGTGATTAGCACTACAGGCTGAGGCTACTGGCCTGCTCGGATTTTCTGTGTGGAGTTTGCATGTTCTCCCTGTGCCTGTGTGGGTTTTTCCCAGATACTCCAGCTTCCTCCGGGAGTCCAAAGATGTGCACATTAGGTCAAGTGATGGTTCAAATTGGCAATAGGTGTGACTGTGAATGGCTGTCTCTCTGTGATAGCCCTGTGATAGGTTAGTGACCTGTGCAGGTGTACCCTGCCTCTCGCCCTATGACAGCTGGGATAGGCTCCAGCCCAAACATGACCCTGAAATGGGTAAAAAAAAAAATGGATTGACAGAAATGTTATGCACAGTCCCTTGAATGGTAACAGTGAACGTCATAGACAGAGCAAACTGTCCTCAGCCTGTGGATTTAACACATTTTGTAACTTCATGTAATCCCAGACTGACTCAATGTTGATGAGTTTAGGGCTTTTGTAGAATTTGGGACCAGCGATGTGCTATGTATAAAAATCTAAACGCGGAAAGTGGCAACATTTATGAACACTTCCTCATCTACAGATTATCACAATGCAAGAATAAACAACCACATATTGTGTCTGAAGACAGAGGTTCACAAAAAGACTACAGGGTAGAATAACTTGGCAGGATGTGGCTGGTTGAATCTGAGACCTGTTAAATCTATTGTAACATGCCATTTATGCCATAATCTGGCAGACTTGTTTCAACATTTGTTAATAGCCATCAGCTCATCGCGAGACTTAGTGCCGAGGTATCATCTTGCTTGAGGTAATTGCGTCAAATATCGCAGGTTCAGATGAAAAACAATGTGCATGTGAATACAGGCTTGAACATGTACCTATTCTTTAATGATTCACTGAAGGGGAACTGTTTTCAGTTTGTTTTATAATAGTGTGTAATATCAGTTTAAATCAGCATCCAGCCTTTGTTTTTTTGAATATACAGTGTAAGGCAAGAATGCTGCAGCGTTGAGTCTAACTGAAAAACAACTATAAATTTTTAAATAAGACGTTGGACTGTCCATTCTCTGAGAGAATAAAGCGTTATCCCTTGATTACCAGCTCGTGTCTGTCTGTGTGTTGAGCAATTGACCATTCGTTAGGCCTAGATTTGCGTGCTGCACTGCAAGTCACCAGATGGGGCTGTGGTGTGGCTATTCTTAGGGAAAAAAAATACCAACCATAGGAAGGACTGAGTCAGAGGAAATGCATATGACATATTGCATCAAAGAGACATGCTCTCATACGGCCAAGAAATTGATTTGATGTCATTTTTGGAAAGGCATAAAAGCAGCTCCGTGTGACAGGACTCTATGTGCATACTTATACACCAGCTGAGGTTTTTCGGTGAATATGTGTCTTTATCCCATGTTTGATGGACTCTCCTGTGCGTGTGCACACGACAGTTGCATTAATCATTAGTTATTACTAACACAATGGAGGAAATTAAAAACGGATGTGTTATATCTTCACGGGCCAAACTGCGGAGCCATAATTCATTCTCACCGACTAATGAATGGGGTCTTTGACAAATTAAAAAGAACCATGCATGACGCCCAGGTGCAGACCTCTTTCATTCAAAGTGATTGACTGCACACAGTTTGTTAACACTTTGTTTGAAGCTGCTGGCGGAAGGCAAACCGGAGCAGATTTAACAGCTAAACTGCGAAACACGTTGCTTCCATACAGATGTGGATGCAGCAAAATAAAAATAAAAGCTCCTCCAAAGAGTGTTTCCAGAAGAGTTGAATACAGTTTTATTTTTAGTGTGAAAGCTTTCCATTCATTTGGCAGCACGCTGTACCTCATCAACTAAATGCAAGCTTCTCTGTAAAGTTTTCCAATCAAAGCTCAATAAGCAAACTGGAGCTGGTATTCTGTAGTCTAAAATAGAAATGGAAACATGTGCTGAAATGTGTCCAGAAAAACAATGCTATAAAATCCTATTGTAAAAGTTCTTAATCCGGCGTCCCTCAAAAGTTTCCCTAATTTGCACTGAACTGCCACGAGCATTTGAAAATCTCCCCAGCCCAAATTTCTTTCTCATCAATTAAAAGCGGAGTCAAAATTTAACAAGATAGTGTGAGGCCTAACCACAACGAAAAGGGAGAAAATCCCCAAGCATTTCTTCCCTGAATCCATGGAGTCTGCGGTAAGGGTGGAAAATGTGTGGAGTGCTCAGTATGAACTATCTTCATTTGTGGCTGCTCAAAGGGGAAACCACTTTTACACGCTAATCCTACTTTTAATCTGGTGTGTAGAAATCAGCGCTCTTCCCCTCAGCGTGGTCTTCAGTTCATAGCCCCCCCTCCCGAGTGTTTCTGATTAGTTAGCTGGGTGCCCATTATTCAAAAATTAGAGTCATCAAAAAAAAGAAGGAAATAGACATCCACCATCATGCCTAATTTCAAATAGTCACCGTGGCCTGTAACTCAATCCACATTGGGTAGTTTTTCTCTCATAAAAACAAATCCCTCATGTTCTGTATTGATGGCGTGCAACTGCAGACTGAAATCACTGGAAGCTGCATGCTGGTGAAAGCTAAACAAATTACTGTTCCCATGACAAGGGGAGGATTACAAACATGCAATTTATAAATGTATCTTTTGCATTTTAGTTGTTTTGACCAGTTATGGTATTATAGATTATCTATATTTCAAGCAATCTTAGAGGAAATGTTGTGTATACGTTAGCACTTGTCAGGGTTCCTGGGTCGTTGACCCAGCGATTTCAGTTTGTTCGTGTTCAGTTTCCTACATGCTCGTGTTTCACTGTGCCAACCTTCTGTCTCTGTGCATTATGTTCTAGTTCCACTGCATGTGTCATTGGTCAGATTATGTTCAGCTGTGTACTCACCGGTCTCCAATCGTCATCATCAGTCAGAGTATTTAAGTCTTCAGTTTCCTTCTGTTCACCGTCGTGTCATTGATGTTGTCACTGCCGTTCCCGTGTGTTCAGTTCTGTTCAGTCACTTCAGTTCAGCCAGCCGTTTCAATAAATACCACTATCCTCCACCGTGAGTCCAGCGTTTGGGTCCCTCCCTCCCGTCCTCTCATCCACACACGACACTCCTGACAGCACTTTTCTGACTTTTAAAAAGCACATTATGTTATCTGTCATTTAAGAGCAGGTGTAGAAGAGGTTCGATTATACTGCAGAGTAACAATGGTTTATTACCATTTATTACTGCAGTTTTTTAATTAATTAATTTACAGTATTGTTTTAATTTTATTTTAAAAGTTTCATTCTGTTCATCTGGATGTGACTGACTACTATGTTGAACAAACGGCCCAAAATTTGTGTTGCCTGACTGCAAAATGTGCAGGTTTTCAAAGCCCAAACGCTTGTGCTGCAGTTTGCTTGATGCAGCAGGAATCCTTTATTGCTTCAACACAAGCCATAGAAAAGAACTGTTTTCCTAGCACAGCGCTGCTGTTGTTCTGTTGTATGTGAAAGGCACAGCAATTTAAACAGTTTGAGGTCTAGACTTTGACCTGGCTTTTTTCAGCAGCTGTTTGCCGCTGTGCTTCGGATCATTGTCCTGTTGCATGAGACAATTTAAGCCAAGCAATTGTTGTCAGACAGATGGCCTCATATTTGACTCTAGAGTACTTTGGTATACAGAGAAGTTGATGGTTGAATCACTGACTGTAGAGCGCTCAGGTCCTGTAGCAGGGGGTCCAAAACATGACCCCTCCTCCACCGTGTTTTAACAGTTAGTATGAGCTGGCTTTTCTGCGGTTTCTCTGAGAATGGCACGGTCTGACCTTGAGGTGAGTTTGCTGGGGACTCTTACTGTGATGGCATTGCATTCACATAGCGGAATGTGCCAGCAAACTTCCAAACCCTCTCATTTTCACAGGTGGTTGCTGATGATCAGTTAATTTAATTAGAAGCACCTGGCTGCTACTTGGATTATTAATTCCTATGGGTTTACTTAGTTTTTTACAGGCCTACACAGACCTGGGCAATTTAAAGTTGCATTGTGGATCATGACTGGTTAAAAACCAACGAACTGCAAATTCACGCTTTGATATTTCATATTTTAGTGAACACAGAGAAAATTTCTTTCTTTAGAATGAAAATGAGTTGTTTTCTGAGAACAAACTGGTTTGGAATTGTAAAATACATCCATATACATTTTGATTGTTCTTTAAATGTCTGGTGAAGTCTGACACTTTAAATGAAACCAAAACTTTTGTGAATTGCTGGATTGATGGCGGTCATAAAATATGACAAAATGCTGGTGATGTCGACAGACTGCTGCGGCGGCCACAAGGAGAGGGCGGCTTCTCGTGAGGTCATATTCAGAGAAAACACTTTAAGACTTATTTGCTTCTATTAAAAAGTTGGATGAAGTTCTACTTTTGTAAATGCGCAGTAGATCATTTTGTTCCTGGCTCTCAATCACTTGCCAATTCTTCATTCACCTCAATTAGATTTCTCACATCATTACCAATGTTTAGTGACAGCTGTAGATTATGCAGAATGTCTTGCTGATTTAATCACCCTTAATGACTGGGCTAGTCCTGTGAAGATTGATACAAACATCTTTCCCAGATGGCAGAATGGGATATCAGTTATCTTTTAATGCCTGCTGCTGGGCTGGCACGGCAAAATGGCAGTGCCCTATCAGCGTGCCTGGTAATGCAGAGTAATAAAAGTTGGCACAAATGAAATGAGCCAAGTATGTTAAAAATTTTAGTGAGACCCACTAAACGTTAATGCCAGACAAATAAAACAGAAGGGGAATGTGAGAGAAATACTGACTGGAACTAAAGGAGAGAAGACGTAAGGAGTGTGCGTGCTGTGATGTTAAACTTGCACATATACACACATCAGCATGCTCATGCAAGCAGCCGGCCATTTCATTCACAAGCCACTGACGTTTCCACAAACAAAGCTCACTCTTAATTTAAATTCTGTTTTAACAGTTATTTTAACAGTTAGACATATTTCAGTAAATTAGTTTTTAAAAAACGCATGACGCCACTATGTGTATATTTCACTTCACAAGCTCTTTTGTTAGTTGCTTCACAGGAACCTTTTAATTTCTTCCACACAGGAATATACACCATGAAAGAGGAGATCTCTGCTGTTAATTGTAAGCCCCGAGTGAAAGGAGGGTTTTTTTTCTGTGTGATCTGACATATTTCATAATTAAAGGCCACAACACATGGAGACCTCAGACTGTAATGTGGTCGCACTGCATGGAAGTGGTAAGGACAAGCAGCGTGAGAGACTGGGGACTAGAGGGCAGAGAGAGTGAGTTTAGTGATGGGAGGAGGGGTGAACAAGGGCAAAGTGAGAGAGAAAGAGAGGAAGGAAAGAATAAAAGCATCTTAGTGCCAGGATAACGGCACAATACTTTGTCAAAAGTTGAATAAACAACTTTTATCAATCAGAATTATAGTCAATAGGGAAAAAGTGGTAGGCAGACAGCAAGAAGTTATCTTTTGGTTAACTTTTCTTTTCTATGGGGAAGCATGTTATTAACGGAGGCAAAAGAACATATATTTGAAATAAATTACTGATATAAAAAAGGGGGGAACTGAATCGTGTTTCAGACACATTCACTTTCACCTATTTTGCTGAAAATCCTATATTCAAGACTGGGAGGAGTCACAAGCCCAGCTGCAGGTGGACACAAGCTTGTACTCACAACTGTGATGGCATTTCTGCTGCCCTCTTGAAAATGGCATTTTAATATCAAAAACACGTTTATCTGGATAAATAAAGCATATATAAAAATGATTTTGCCAAAAACTGAACGTATCTTTAGCCTTGTGACATCGTTCGTGAGATGGATGGTTGACAGATTACAGCCCAAGAAGTCAGAGAGGCACTTTTATTGATATGTGACTGTTAATTTTGAAACTCATTTCTGCCAGACTGTGATGCACCTGAGACGAGTGCACAACACCAATTTACTTTAAAAACTGCCTTTGGCATCTTAGTGCTATATATCATATTTGGCTTGTCAAAGAAATGTAAAAAAAAAAATAGCATATCAGATGTAATGCCTGCTGTCTTTGTATTTATGATGTGTGCAAATAATTTAGCTAAATATTAGCCTGAATTAATGAGCTAACTAGTTTTCTCCAAAATGGCACCTTTGGGTCAAAGTGAGTCAAATGTGTGGGCTAAGTTGATCCACTCAGCCCTTCAAAAGCCACTGAAGTTAAATTAAATCTGAACTGCTAGAGAACCCACCGCTGATGACAACCAGAATATACTTTGCACCTGATTATAAACATATATTGATGCTACACATCTCACTTTTGGGGCAGTTAAATTCTGGTGGTAACTTTTTTTTCTTTTTATTCATTTGAGTGGCATTACTTTGTTTCAATCTGCGATAGTTTTGGTAACAGTATTCAATTTATTTAATCATTTTAATTTATGTTTTTATTTAATTTTGCTCAATAATGTCTCTGTTTTACTTGTTATTTTATTTTTTTAGGGGGGAGGTTTTCTTGTGTCTTGCATTTTTCATTAACATTAATTAATATAATCTTTCTTTGAACACCTGTACAGCTCAAAATCAGATTTTGTTGCACTGTACAATATATGTATGGTAGTGACAATAGATATATTCTATTCTATTCTATTCTATTCTTTAAATGCAATCAAAAGATATTGAAATTTAAACTTCATTTGATTGGTTTACTCATTCATTTAAATGGTCAGCTTACCCCCAGATGGTCCACTTATCCCTTAAGCTGATGCAAACTGAGCCACAGAGACACTTTTTCTCTAAGAAACCATATTTTTAAAACGTTTAAACAGTCTAAAAACTTTCACGGATGGTACTTACACATTCCTTTGTTTTCACAGGACTTTGTTTTCTTGATATGAAAAGATCCAGCTGTGTAAACTGTATTACATAGTGAATGGGCAGTACAGTACAGTCTTCAACCTCTGGTGACAATTTTGCAGCCTGATGTAACCATACAAAAACTGACCTTAACGCTAACACATGAAATGAAAACAAATTCGTTTGTCACATCAGATAAAAGTTTACTTCACAACACAGAGAATCAGAGGCACATTTTTTATACACTGTAATTTGAACACTTTTTTTTTTACAGTTACAGTGGTTCAGAATAATCACAGATCTAAAGTAGCAATTTATTGTGAGTAACAGCTGATACAATTGATCCCATCCAGGAATTACAATATAAAATATGATGCGGCTTTTATTGGAAAATACTTACAAATGGAATGTGTCTACGCATGGTTTCGACTTAATATTTACAAATGAGGTATCATTGGTATATCAACTGCAATGCACTGAGGAATGTCCTGCAACATCAAACTGTATGTAGCATTCAAAAGACTGGAAAATATGTAAATGCAGGCAAAGAGTATTACATTACTCCCAATGTCCTGTCAGATGTTGGTATTATGTCCGGCTTTGTCACGCAATAAATACACTTCTTTAATAATAATAATAAAAAAATACCTGTTGTATTCAACAGAAACTATAAATATCACCTTTTCTTTCTAATCTGTACATAAAGAATGTCAAAAACAGTTTAACGGTTATATATTTAAGCCATTAACTAAATTTGTCGTTTTCATATTAGCAGCACTATGTCCGTCTGAGCCTCAAAATACAACAAAACAGTGACAGTTCATGAGTGCTGCATGTCGTGTTGACTCCACTGAGGCAGAATGGACTTTGTCTCTCCCAGTACCCTGAGAACATTAGCCCTGTGGAAACAGTAAATGAGCATCTCTCCACAAAGAAGACTCTTGCTTAGTCCCAGCCAAAATCCTGTCCACTCATCTGGTAGAAACGGTGGTTGAAGGGCCTGTAGAAATCTCTGAGTCTCTGCAGTACCTCAGAGGGGATCTGGGGATGAGGTCTGCCTTTAGACTTTCCGAGGCAGCGGGGTCTGCTGCTCCCCTCTGGCTTCTTCAAGCAGGGAAAACCTTTTGTCTGGTTGAAGTAGAAGTGCTTGTCTGAAACAACCCTTTTCAAACCCAGGAAGTCCTGAACTCGGCCCATCTCCCCAGCTGGATCAGACACCAGTCGTTCGCCGCTAACAAACAGAAACTGAGACAAAGGGAAGTACTGGAGCCAGTTCTCCAGGTGCTTGGCATAGAGGCCGATGCGCACAGCACTCCACGTGGTATCAATCAAACCTGTGGAGGAGTTTTTCAAAGCGAGGCTCTGGAAGGATGGAAGCCCTGGGTTCTTGGACAGCGTCTGGGTGTAGTCAGACACAGCCCTCGTCACCGGGTCCCTGACGACGACAATAAGCTTGGTTTGACAATTCATAGTGCAGATGCGACTTGGAGCCTCTTTGGTGACAAAGTAGCTGGGTGTCTTCTCCATAGTGATCTGCCCGTCGAGTGTCCGAGGCATCAGGTTCCTAAATTAAAAAAGAAGAAACTGTCAGATAAATATTGACACAGTCTATTTCACTTCAGTACATCCAGCAGGTCTGGAGCTTAACTTCACTTGTTTTGATTTCTAAAAGTTTTTGTTTTTTTTTTTAAATTTGGCCACTTGAAGACATTATGTCCATATTCTGCTTACGTTATATGTCGAGCCAAGTTGTGTGAACCTGCTATGTTACATGTATTTAACTCAACAAAACACTCTTGATCCGGCTACACCACTGGTTTCTGAGCTACCACAATAAAGTTTCAATGTTTATAACTCAAAACCAGCACCACTTGCTGTTTTAATCCCATGCTACATTAAAGCAAAAAGACCACTAAGAGATAATGTAAGAACATCACACACTGTTGCTATTAAAGCATCTCAAAATCTGTGTGATCAAAGCTTCAGACACTACTCTGTTAATGTTCGAGGGCCCCAGACAGCCCCTCCGGGTCTCACTGCAAGGTCTGCAGAACAGGACCATCCACTCACCACGGGCCCAGTGAGTCAAAACCACAAAGCCTCGAGAACCACTTAACAGCAATTTCCTACAGATTTCCACCCCCTCTTCTTCCTGCAAGAGCAAAATGCCCTCCCCCTCACCATCACCTCCCCAATAGGTTCCAACAAGGACTCAAGCAGGCCAAAGTCTGCAGGAAGTGCGACCGGGATGGCGAGCTGCTGAGCTCAGCTAGTGTGTTAAACACATGGCAGTAATGAGGAGAGATGCTGGGTAGAATATACCAGTGGAAAGACTTGTGCTAAATTAGGTGTTACCGTGTTGGGGTAATAGATTTTGCATTATGATGCAAAATGTACCTTAAGCTTTAACCAGCGCTGTGGCATCTAATCTGCTGATTTATCTTTCATGGCACCTGCTCTCCTGAGACGATTAAGCAAGTTTTTCTTCTTCTACTGATTTGATTTAAAACCATCGAGTCACAGCTGCATGAAACACCCTTGACTGATGCGGACTCCTCTTATTTCAGCAATATCTGGCCAACAGACAGTGAGGGAAAACATGGCGTTCAACAGGTCCAGCATTTATTCATGTGTTTACATTTAACATTGACAAACTGCCTGAGCCAGCATTGTGGTGGATTTGGATTTCGGAAACAAATTGTTTGCACGACAAATGGATGATGAGCAATGTTTAAAGCAGCAAATGAATCGCCTGCAGTTCATTTACCCAACACATCCTTTACTGTGTTACTGGAAACAGAGAGCATTCATGTGGTTTCCCATAAAATAAACAAGTAATGGAGCATATGTGCTTTATTTGTTTCAGATTGCAAGTTTGCATTAACTCCAAATGTCAATGACAAAAGGCCATTCAGAAGTGTAGATGACATCCGAGGGGGGATTTGTTTTTCATTTTCCTGATTATGTTAATGAGTATTTGTAAAGTAACCATGTATTAGTGCAATGTAGTAAAAATGCTTTTAATCAATTAGGAAAATAAACACTTTCAAATGGGTTTACTTGAGTAATGACAGTTGCATGCCCACATTATTTAAAGTGTTTCCTCTTTGATCTGAGGGAATTAAGGTTCAGCAAAGTTTCATGACTTCCCTTTCACGGAAACAAAGCAGCAGATGACTGTAGTCCATGCAAGTTCACTGACTTTACTTTTGCTCTTTAAAAACATATCTAATACAATATACCAGGGAAATATGAGGAAATGTACATCAAATGAAGAACAAGAAATAGGCTGTTGATATTTCACTCAAAATGAAGATCTTAACGCTTCAACAAAGTCAATCAAACACATAGTAAAATCTCATTATAAGAACTTTTGACCACCTAGATAGGTTTTGTGCAATTGCATTAACCTTCTTCGTAAAAACAGTGCTCACACACGCTTCATTAAGCGTCATTAACCTCAACTGCTCATTAACGCAAACATATAATTGGCTGCGACTCAATGCGTTTAAGCATGTACACATGGTCAAGACTTGCAGAATTTCAAACTGAGCATCAGAACAGAGAAAAAAGTTGATTTAAATGACTTTGAATAAAATATGGTTGTTGGTGCCAGACTGGCTGGCATTTCAGAAACTGCTCATCTACTGGGATTCTCCCACACAATCATCTCTAGGGTTGAAAAAAAAGTGAGTGGCAGTTCTCTGGCTGAAAATGCCTCGTTGATGTGGCCAGACTGCTTTGAGCTGATCAGGAGGGAACAGCAACTCAAATAACCACTCACTACAACCAAGACATGCAAAAGAGCATTTCTGAACAAACAACGTGTTGAACCTTGAAGGAGATGGGCTAAAGCAGCAGAAGACAACACCGATTCCTTTCCTGTCAGTTGAGAACAGGAACCCGATGCTGCAGTTTGCACAAGCTCGCCAAAACTGGACAATAAAAGATTGGAGAAAAAAAAGTTACCTAGTCTAATGAGTCTGAATTTGTGCTGTAACACTCAGATAGTAGGGTCAGAATTTGACATAAGCAACATGATAGCACTGATTCATCCTGCCTGTATCAACAGTTAGGGTTGCTGGCGGTAGATTGTTGGGACCCTTATTACTAATTAATTAAAAATGTCACAGACAAGTCCATCCCTTTATGACCACACTGTACTCATCTTCTAATGGTTCCTTCTAGCAGGATCATGTGAAATGTCACAAAACTCTAATCATGTCAAATTGGTTTCATGGACATGACACTGGATTCAAACAGCCTCTCAGGTCACCAGCTCTCAACCCAATAGAACATTTTTGGAATGTGGTGGAACGAGAGATTCCCATCATGGATGTACAGAGCCGACAAATCTTGGGCAACTGTTTGATACTGCTATGTCAACATGGACCTAAATCTCTGAGGAGGTTTTCCAGAAACTTAGTAAATCTATGCCACAAAGAATTAAGTCAGCTCTAAAGTAAAAAGAGAGTCCAATGTGGTACTAACAAGGTGTTCCTGCTCATTTAACTCCTGATGGAAACTCTATTCTGTGGTTCAGTGTTTAGTTTGGTCTCTTATTTATGTAAAATGTTCTCTGTAGAAGTTTTAAGAGGAAACAAAGGTTAAAAGTGCACAATAAAGTACATGACTTTGAGTGAGAAGGAAACTTTTAGAGATTTGAGTCTTTCCTCTGCATTTAAAGTTAAGCCGTTTCAATCCATCCCCATTAAATGATCCCCATAATAAAAGACCATTAATTGATTACTATCCAATTTCAAGAGCTGCAAATGGCCTATCACTGCCTGCCCGTCCCCTGTTTATCTGTGTCTGATCAATACGTCTGTCTCTATATGACAGATTGTGCTCAGTGTGTGTCGCTGTGTGTATGACTGCTTTTTTGCACATGTGCATATTTGAGCACGGAGGTGTCAGTGAATACTGATGAGAAAATGAGCATCTTTGCACCCACAGTGTCCGTCTTCTGCTTTCTCATTCATAGTTTTGGATTTGTCCTTCACTTCTTCACATAAATGACACTTCTGTAATTGACCATAAGTTGTCTTTCCATATTCATGAATAGTTAATGAATTGTGACTTTACCCCCACTCTGCTCAGGTCCCTATCTCCCTCATCACAATCAGTCTCATTATCGGAGAATCGATAGAGGCCATTTTCTGTCATAAATCTGTCTGTATGTGGTGTCAGTATACTGTAAACAGATCAGGGTCAATTAATCTGCAATAACATATGCTTTACATACACCTCTTTGATTTAGCTTAAGGGAAATGCCTTTTAGCCTACTATTGTTAACATTTAAATATGCAAAGAGAAGAACTCAAACATGTTTTCTATTTAGCGTTGTATCGGAAAGACTTGCTGACTCGCCACTCTAGTCTGGAACTCCCTGCTGTTAAAAGGATGTAGTGCTTTTCCTCCCTGAAGTGCTCCAGAGCTGATTACTCTACTGATATGTTCGAGGGAGCCTGGATCATAAGATTAAATAACAACCCTGGCAACAAGGATGTGGCCAAGAGACTTCCTGCCCCCCAAGATTACGGGCTCTCCCGCTGAAGCGGGAGCCACATACTCCTGCAGCGCAGAAACAAAAGGTATTCTGCACAGAAGTGGAGCCGGAAAATCCAATTATCACGTCGGTTTGTCGATCTGAAATTCCATCAGTTATCACAGATACGCTACACACGGTCTTCCTGAAGGAGGCTTCTGCTTTGGCAGGCATCCACACCAAAAGGCCTTTTCAGCTGAGATCCAATTAAACAGGTGGTGAAAAATCAAGGCTATAAAAACGAGAGAGAGCATAAATGTCAAACTGAGGGAAACATTTCCCAACTGTGTCGCTATGCTCGAAGGGTGACAGAAGCAACCTGAAGGCAACGGAAAGTCTGTCAGTCTGACAGGATAAGTGTGGGAACCTTGATTTACAGCATCATGTCTGGATGAAACATATGTTGCTATTCCCCTCTGACCAAGCTAAGGTGGGCTAAACCAGTACAAACAAAAGTGTGGGGCAAATCTCATCTAGCTACAAGGAAGTGAACACATACAGCAGGAGGCATTATTGTCTCTAGGATACAAAGTGCAGTTTTTCCCCTGCTATCGCCATGTTTGAGACCTAAAAGTGTCACACATCAAAGTTGGAAAAGAACATAAGCTGATGTGTAGAAAGTAAAACATTGAATGAGAAAGTGTGGAGCAGAAACTTTACAAATAGTATTGCGTATGTGTGTGTGTTACCACTGAAGTGACTTTCAACCAGAAACAAACACACTAAACACCTCTGCAAGTGTCAGTCACAGGACCACTGGATGGTTTGATCACAATTGGAACCCAGCTGTGAGAAAAAACTGTTGCCACCCTCTAGTTTTAATTGCATTGGATGATGTTTTCCTCTACAAAGTAATGGAGTTAGTAAATGGTTTTCTCTGCATGAGGTTGGCTGAAGTGCAACACTTCCACAGAGACCAGAGTGTGAGTGTGTGGGTGGAAAGGAGTTAAAATCACACACATACATGGGAAGGGGGGAGTCCATCTATAAAGGAATTACTTTATGCAGGTCGATGC